GCGTAGGAAGCTTGCAAAAAAAAACTTGTCCGATGGAATGTGTCGTGCGCCATTTGTCGCGTAACAGACGCCACCGTAGATCTCGCCGTGTCGCATGCTTAACATTTCGCAGGATATAGCTTACTCCTTAATCCTTTTGTACTCGGTCTGGCTGAACCAGACCGCGAAACACTTGCAGTGGTCGGGATGCTATTTTCATCTTTTTGCAAATATAAAAGAAAAAATTGGAGCAGCTTACGCGCTAATTTATATGCAAGAGACACAAGAGAAAATTGTGTAATATATGTTATTACAAAAATGTGTGTTGTTTTGTTACATTATCATTTTATGCAAATTAATATAAATTAATAACATCATTAAGCGATGATTTTGTTCATGTCTAGATGTTATCTATTATTTATTCGTAATATTTGTGAAATATTTTTTCGGATGTTTGACTTTAACATCGATTGGTCTATTTTAGTTTTATTTTTTGTATAACTTTAGTACAAATTATAATTAAAAATAACATGTTAAATTACACAAAATTGAAAGGATATATCAATTAATTGTTATTATTTGTTTAGCTTTTGAAATTATTTTTCACTATCATATTTTTTAAAGAAAATTTGTGTGTCAGATTTAAATATCATTTTCTCAAAATTAAAAGGACATATGAATTGAGGAAATTTTTACACTAAAAAAATTGTATTCTCAACTTAAGTTGAGAATACAATTTTTTCAGTGTATTATTTTTTTAGCCTTTGACATGATTTTTGATTATCATGTTTTTTAAAGAAAATTTGTGTTGTGTCAGATTTAAATATAATTTTCTCTCATATAATCAGATATGAAAAAATTAAGCTTTGAACACATATTACAAGTTTGTGTAACAAAAAAAAGTAAATTTAATAAACATTAGTAAGAGCAGAAGATTCGCAAAATTATAAATACAAATGAAAATAAGACTTGCATTGATGTGCTATTGTATGCAGCAAGGTTTTATATTAATTTTATCAAATTTTAATAAGTTACATTAGATATATTCTACCAAAATTCCGATTTAGAAATAAATCGTGAATAATGTTGCGAATTCTTGGGAGATAGGGCTTAGAAATTCTTCAAATGAGATCTTGCATCGGAGAACGCAAGTTGATAACTTTCACGATGGAGTTTCCGTACGGCCGATTTCCCGGGCACATCCTTTACCTTGTTCGCAAAGCGTCCAAGCGTGATAGCCTTGCATTATTCCACCGATTTCCATGATGGTAATGTCTCTTAAAGAATGCCCGGCAATCTTCCACAACAGTGACACCAGGCGTACGTTGTTACGGATACACTTTTCATTTTTTAGACGCGACGCGCAGTGTATATCATCGATTTCACATTACTGAATATATGGTGCATTATAAATTTTTCATCTTCCAAACCGCTCTTTCCGGCAAAATCCGCTGTATGAATATTTTACCGCCCGAAATATTCCCGAAATATTTGAAGCATCATCGAAGTTCAAAAGCTTTTAATTTAGTTATTCCCTTTAAGTTCGCTCTTTTCGGAATTTTGATATAATTATATAAAAATTTAATAAATAATTATATAAAAATATAATTGATTAAAAATATAAATTAAGTGAAAATTAGCACACATATTTTAAGAAAAAGAATTAAGATAATACATGTCAAATGACATGTCAAATTATATTACTATTTCTAAATACATTAGTTACTTCAAATTGTTTACGAATAAATGTACAATCATGCTAGATGAATATTACGAAAAAATGCCATTAAATAGATTTTCACGAGCGCGTATCGCGCGCATATTGCACAGGTATATACGAGAGTGATACGTATGGGACGTAACGCACTTTAAAAGAGGGACACGCAAACATTTAAATGGTTAACGTAGAAATTGGATTGTCCAATATGGACACACTTTTGTTTATAGTCGACACGATGTTCGAGAATCATACAATCGGTGAGTATAAGTTGTTCGTGCGTTTAATGACACACCGATACAAGGTATGTCTATTCGTTTATAGTGATTCACTTAGTAAAATGGATTTAACAATTTTCAAAAACACCGTTTTATTGTCTATACGGACAAAACGGCATCGTACGTTTTCTAATTTTCACGCGGTATATCGATTTTTATTGTTTCAATTTTAGCTGAATTCGATTGTGGGAAACTGCACTTCAAAAGATAAAAATGAATGATAAAAGATGTGGGAAAAACAATTTTTTGATTAATCCAAAATTGATTTTTTTTTTAAAGAAAATTAAAATATTAATATTTTAAATCTAAGCAAATGGAAAAAATATGTAAGGTATTTGTGTATATATGCGTAAATACAAATGTTTATGAGAAATTATTATTTGACATCAATTTAGCGAAATATAATATCGAAATTTGAAACATTAGATAGATAGATAGATAGATGATAAATTAATTGTGAAGAATTCATGAAAAATAATGTTTTAACATGTGACTTTTTTTGTTAAGGAAGGAGATCACAACTTTTGAATTAATATAAATTTTTTTTAAATATATTAACCTAATTTTGCTTTTAGTTTGAAATTTTCGAAGGTTCTTTTCAAAGCTGTTCTTGCCATTAATTCAAATTTTTTACATTGACTCTCATTTCGTTGCGCGTTTCTATCACCTGCTTTACAGCAAATACTGTCTGAGGTAGTAAATCTATCAGTCAGTCTTCTTTATCGATCTATTGTCCTAGATAGAACCGGAGTTCCACTTTCAGTTCGTTTTTTTCTCACAGAATTTCTTCCTTTCTTCTGATCTGGCTGTGTTTCACTGTGTATTACGGATTCTAATTCACCTTTTTCAATTGTCAAACTTCGATCACCCGACTTATTTGCTCAGTCTTTCATGTGATTCGATCCTTTGCCATTAGTTCTTTTCTTTTTTTTCCTTTTGCTCTAGAAGGAAAGTAATTTAAACCTTCATTACGTAGCATTTATATGAAAACAGCTCATGTATTTTGTTATTATATAATCAATTATATAATTAATTATGTTTACCTTCTTTCCGATGCCTTTATGCTGCAGTAATACTTTTACAGTAATGTATTACTTGAAGGAAGGAAAACATTTTATCGTCGAATAAATATATTTATCAGAGAATAAATTTATTTCTTTTATCTCCCGTTTCAATAAATATTATGCAATGTTTGCTAATTTTGTGCACAATCGCTGCAACTTATTATTCGTTCATTCGAAGCAATTATTAATCTACAAATTCTACAGCATAATGCTGTTGAAATTGGCTGATGGGGACAAGATAAAGTCTCGTTTGAAAAACGAGAAATAATGAGACGGAGTTTCGACGTGGAGTTCGAATGACAGAGGAGACAAAAAGTAAAGATGGCTTCGATCATAATTAATTGCTCGTAGTCTGACGTAAAATGGATGATTATCACAATGCTGCCTGATCCCCTCTGTGCCGTATCTTTCGGGCGAGTGCTTTAATTTTTCCTTCTCTCTTTGTGCCGGCTGCCGGAAACCGGTATACCACGCTGTTTATCACCGAGTCACAAATTAGGTTTCCGTTTGTATGGGACACGGAGATGACTGTCGAAGTAATTCGGACCTACCAAGATGTCGTAGTGGAAATAGAGCGGTATTTTCAGTACGGGACAAAAGGAAGGAGAGAACGAGCTCTTCTTTGTTTGAGGGCATCATGTTCAAAGGATTCGAAAGAGAAAATTGTCTCCTCCTTTTTGCCTCGTTTCGGAACGATGTCGTATACTGCAAGGAAAATCTTTATAAAGTTTGCCGCAGACGTTCGTTGAGGAATGGAATTGAGCAGACGATTCACGTCGGAATATCGTACGTCAGTCGTATTGATATTTTTTAACAAAACATCTTTGCGTTCTGCGCTGTCTCATTTTTTTTTACGATTCTTTACTTCTCTGTCTCTTAGTCACGGAGTTATCAAAGTAGAATTTTATGTTAATTAACGTTAGCGTAACGTTAACATAAATTTACACGGGTCCTGCTTCGAATATTATTGCTGCATCAAATTACATTTAATTAATGCTTTATACATACATCAAAATAAAAATTTAAAATATATTTTACATTCATTTACTTCTGTTCTACGGAAGTGGAAAACATTTTTTAATATAAAAATTAAGCTGTGATAGATAATTTTAATTAGTAAGCTTCCTTTATAGTTACTAATTAAAATTATAGTCAGCAAACCAAAAGTAAGGTGATAATTACCGCAGCTTTGCGAGGAGAGTAGTTAATTCCACGTGGTCGATTCGCCGTCCAGATTCGATTAATTTCACGTGACAGTGACTTCAGAAACGGTTCTCGCGTCTATTGTCATTTCCGAAGTCTTGCGAATTTAATTCACAAGATTATCTTATCTACTGCCCAAGGAATTGAATATCAAAATTAGATCTCGTAAATTGAGGCAATATTTGTTAGATAATTAAGGATTGAAAGTTCTCTTGGAAAACTTTCGTCTAAATAATGAGATTCATATTAATACTATGTTTTCTTATTTTTTATTTTAATTTCTTTTATTTGATAGCGTTTTTCTAATTATATTGTGATATTAATAATATGTTATTTTTTCGCATTTATTAATTTATCTAAAATAGCTTTTAAGTATAAATATTTAGCTTGTATGTATTAATATTAAATTGAATGCTTTATTTTGAATTTTATTTTTATTATTTTATTATTTTATTATTTTATTATGGTATTAATATTAAATTGAATGCTTTATTTTGAATTTTATTTTTTTTATTTTATTATATTTTTTATTATTATTTTATTTACTGCCATATTATAGAAAGTTTATATTTTCTTTTTGTAACTTTTACTCGATATGATGACATTTAATACATATTTTACGAAATACGTGAACAAAATTCTATATAAATGTTCATAAAAAACGTTGCATTACCGATCATATGTTTAATGATGATTTAAATTGTTATTCGAGAATTGTGTGTGTGTATGTTTTTATTAATGATGGTTTATTTTTTACAGGTAAGTGTCCACACCGTATCAACTCATCAAAATAATACATCTTGGGTGAGTTAAATTAAAATTCATTAAAATCATTAAAAAATATTAAAAATCATTAAAAATCATTAAAAAAAAGCAAATAATTTGCACGAGATAGACGTACGAGACATTCATAGTAAGTTTTTAATATTTCGCAAAATGTGTAACATTGATATAAGCGTAATGATATAAGTGTGTATGGGACATTCATCTAATATACAGAGCAATTGCGTTCATCATCGCAATATGCGGTGTATCGCGCTTGCGTTCCGCCGTCTGTCTCTCCCCTTGTATTTTATTCGAATGTCTCATTAAAGTCGGACGAGAGATGCAATCATCCCGATCGGTCGCTACGGAACGCTTCCGGGCGTTCTAGTTCGCGAGCTACGACGATACCGCGGCGGTTGCGATGCGGTGAACCAATTCGTCGGGAAGATCCATATTCGAGAAAAGAGAGCGATCTCGATTCGCACACCTGCCGCGCTCGTCTCTTCGTCTCATCGTCGGATGCACTGAATAGAATTCGCAGAGATGGTTTTGCATTCGCGCTCATCCCAATCCACCCCGCGAAGCGTCCTCGAAGCATCGTCGACGGGGATATCGACTTTCTATGCATCGCTACGTGTACGTATTTTGCATTCGCTTGAAATCAACTCGCGAAACGTGACCGACGCTAATAAGAGGATTACTCGATTGGTCGGTGAAAATTTTATCTTGAGTTGACACTTTATAAATGTCAACTCGGAATAAAATTTTAAGTGTCATGGTAAAATTTGTCACGCGGTCATCTTTTTTAATATTTCTTTACAAACAATTGGAAGAATTAAGTTTTAAAGAGCTTTATAATTTTTAGTTTAATATTTCGGCATTATTTAAAAATGTGGAAAAAATTCAAAACTTATATATATATTGCAATAAATAGTAATTTCTCTTGGTGTATATTTGTGTTAAGATTTTTCAGCCTGAATACATGAGAATAAATACAAAGATACATAAAAATATAAGACACTTTCCTATGAAAGAAAATCAAAATTATTTTATTCTCTTTAATAACGCGAGTAATAATCACGTCTGATAATTAAGAGCCTTTAATTAAGAGATGATAATTAAGAGCAATATATTTCTTATGTACGATCTCAACTTTATTGAAGGTAAATCAAAATCAACACGAGGTCGGCTCTCAAAATATTTACGTTACGCGTACACAAACATCTCTTACATAGTATGTAATGAAACTTTGACAGTGGTACAAGATGCATACGGAGATGTTCCCTGGAGAAAAGTTACCCCAGAAGGGTATTTGTCTACCTGCGTCTGACGCCGAGGTAAATTGAGATATCGATTTGCAATTTGGCACGTGGTTCCGATCGCCGGGGAATACCGCCCGCGGCCGACCGTGCAACCAATCGCGACTGATTGGTTCCTGATCTTCCGATCCGGCGACGTGTAACAGGACGATTTCTTTGCTGACCTATCTTGTCTTCTTAACTCGAGTCCTTCGAGATTCCCCTGTCCGCGGGGAGATACATGTGTCTTATCACGTTAAATGTCACGTGAGAATTTTTCGGTGATCTCAATTAACCCCCTAAATACGTGCAGGGCTCTCCTTAAGGATGTTTTGTATGTACAATTCCAGCAAAAAGTAGCTGAAAATCAATATTGACGAATATATCCACTATTGATGTATTTTGAGTATGAGAAATTGCGTGGAATAATTATAATTTGATCTTAGATACAGTGCATTTTTAAATATTTATTGCGTTTTTACTGAAATATTCCGAATTTTGTTAATCGAAATGATTAACTTTTGGCAGAGAATTTCGCCTTGTGTCAGATACATGGCTAATTTCATTGAATTATATTTAATATCTTTTTAACCAGTTAATACTTGTATAATATTATTTGACCAAATATTTCCTCTGTATCTAAACTTTTGCAAATTTTAAACAAATTCTGAATATTATTTCCATTGTATTTCATTTGGATCGACATGGTTATACGTTTCCCATGTTAATTCGGTGCAAATTAAAATCCTTATAACTCGTGAACGCCTTAGTGAATCGATTTAAAAATTGTACTGAAGATTCTAAACATATGTAATGACATTCTGTACAATTTTCATTAAATTCTCAATATTTTGAAAATAGGTACAAAACATCCTTAACGAAGCAAATTAATAATAGGCTACCATTTTTTATATATAAGTAAATAGGTTTTTTAATATTTTTACTCATCATACATTTGCATTTTCAAATTTATATAAAGATTAAAAAATTAATGCGTGCATTAATTTACAAAACAAGTATACTTAAGAAATGTACATATTTATTTTGCACGTATATAATTCGAGCTCGAGTATCTGAAATTTTTATTTACTTTACTACTCTGTGCTCTCTTTCTTTTTCCCCCTCTAGAGGGGAGAGAGGAAATTAATTAAATGTATGTCTGGTCGCTAACGAAGAATACGTCGAGATGTATCACCGTAACCGGTAAGAACCTCGACGTACGTTCTACTAATTATTGCGTTTTGGTGGAACGAGCCTCGCGTGATGAACGAGCAATTCTCGTCCGGCGCCTCCGTTTCTGTTTTTCGCTATTAATTGCGCGGCTACGTCGACGACAGATATAAATCAGGCCTTAATCACTGCCGAGGATCGCGAGCAACCGCGCGCTTTTACGTGCAACGACATGACGTACGTGATTACGTAAACGTCCGGGTTCTTTTATCTTTCTTTCCTCTTCCCCTCCTTTTTTTTTTTTAATAACAATTGCTGGTCGCACGGCAGTAGCGACCGGCGCTATCAATTTTGCGGTAGCCAGCTGCCCGCGAAGATCACGGCTTTCGTATTTTCAGACTTTACAAGACTTTTTGCGGCAGCGCATTAGCGCGGGATTTCTGTACTCGCGTTGGATTAAAGCTCATCGATCTTGGAATTTCGCGCATCTTTTTGCAGCACGCGGTCGTCATAATCATATTTTGCACGATAATCTTTCCCGCGTATTATTCGCGTCCCAGCAACATTTCCGATCTGCCTTTTCAATCGTAAATAATAGGGCGCGATCGATTCAAGAAACGACAAGATTATTAATCTTGCTATCTATACATGTTTACACGCACACATATGTTTAATATAGCGATACGGGCTATATTTTGCTATTAATAAATAGTCAATTTAATCGAGCGCACGTAACGTAATCCTCGCTGCAAAATGCGACATATACATTTTCCCTCTTACTTTACTTGGTCTGCCATATTTTCGAGAGGGACATTTTCGCGAAATCGGGTCACATCGCTATTGTGTCCCGACGAATCATCGCGCTCCGGTACCGCGTGACTTAATTGCGCCACACATTACTATAATAAAGCCAATGGCGCTTTAATTACTAGAGAACACAAAGGGTCATTCTAGGGCTCCGAGCTAGCTGCGGATTAATTGCGCTGAACTCTAGACAGGATCAAGATAAATCACACCTTAATATCGAGAGCTACGGATAACTAGTACATTGTCGAGCATATTGTAAGGATGATTGTACGGGCGACAATATCTAAGTACATTGGAGCAAAATGCAAAATTTGGAGGTTTAATAATAATTTCATTCAATAATAATAGATATATACATTTTCTTTATTTATTAATCTATCTAAAGTTAAAGTAAATGATAAATAAAATGTTGCATGATTCAAAGTACAACATGTATCCATAAATTGAGAGAGAGATAACGGTACTTTATATTTTTAAAAAACACATACGTTTTGTGTTTAAAAAAGATGGAAAAATTTATCTTTATTGCGTAGACCGCAAATCTGAAAGAGTTAAGGCACATTTTTCGTCTTGCGATGACAGGACACGTATGCATGCAAAGTTGGATACCGCACATTAGCATTTATCAAGATTTAGTTGGAGAAACACCTTCTCTCTGAAAGCGGTTGTTTTAAGAAAACCGTCGCGTATCATAACTCTATTTTAATTAATCCACGTACATAAATGCTTGCGTGTTTTCTACTCATTGTGTCGTGGAGCATATCTCACGTTTTTACTTTAATAACGGAGACTAATCCAACCGTGTGTAAGATTTACTCGTTTTACTAGAGATAGTCAACATACTTAATTAAAGGATTAATATGATAACTTGATTATGTAATAATGTATGTAAAGTTATATTTAAATTGAGTACTTAAAATATTAAAAATATAGTGCAAAAATTTTGTTTCGAAATCATTTTCGAGTGTTTAAAAAATTATTCTTTATTTATATATATTATGCTATTGTAAAATAAAATTTCTTAATATTCTTTTTTACTTGCAAACACGTTAAGGATGCTTTGTATGTACAATCCCAGCAAAAAGTAGCTGAAAATCAATATTGACGAATATATCCACTTTTGATGTATTTTGAGTATGAGAAATTGCGTGGAATAATTATAATTTGATCTTAGCTACAGTGCAGAGATGTATTTTTTAATATTTATTGCGTTTTTACTAAAATATTCCGAATTTTTTAAATCAAAATCATTAACTTTTGGCAGAGAATTTCGCCTTGTGTCAGATACATGGCCAATTTCATTGAATTATATTTAATATATCTTTTTAACCTGTTAGTGTTTGTATAATATTATTTGACCAAATATTTCCTCTGTATCTAAACTACACTATTGAATATTTTAAACAAATTTTGAATATTATTTCCATGTGTTTCTGTCATTTCATTGAATTATATTTAATATTTTTTTAACTAGTTAATATTTGTATAATATTATTTGACCAAATATTTCCTCTGTATCTAAACTGCACTTTTGCAAATTTTAAACAAATTCTGAATATTATTTCCATGTATTTTTGTCATTTGAATAGACGAGGTTATACGTTTTCCATAAGAACACATGTTAATTCGCTGCAAATTAAAATCCTTATAATTCGTGAACGCCTGAATCGATTTAAAAATTGTACTGAAGATTCTAAACATATGTGAGGATATTCTGTACAATTTTCATTAAATTCTCAATATTTTGAAAATAGGTAAAAGAGG